AACCAGTCCTGCATCCTGGGGATGAAGCCGGCTTGGTCATGGTGGATGATTTTTGAGATGTGTTTTTGGATCTGGTTCGATAGAATCCTGCTGAGAATTTTTGCATCTATGTTCATCAGGGATATTGGCCTGTAGTTCTCTTTTTTTGTTGGATCTTTACCCAGTTTGGGTATCAGTGTGATGTTAGATTTGTAAAATGATTTGGGGAGAATTCCATCTTTCTCAATTGCCTGGGATACTTTCAATAAGATTGGTATCAACTCCTCCTTGTATGTTTTGTACAATTCTGCTGGGAAGGTGTCTGATCCAGGGCTTTTTTTTTTTTTTTTGATATAGTTTTCTTATGACAGAGTCAATTTCCTGGGTTGTTATCAGTCTATTAGTGTCTCGGTGTCTTCTTGTTTCAACCTTGGGCAGTTGTGTGATGTCAGAAAGTTCTCCATTTCATTTACATTTTCTAGCTTGTTTCCATACAGTTGTGCATAGTAATCTCTGATAATCCTTTGTATTTCTTCAGGGGCATTGTGATTTGATCTTTTGCATTTCTGATTGTGTTTATTTGGGCTTTTTTCTTGGTCATTCTGGCTAGAGGTTCATCAATCTTATTTATCCTTTTAGAGAACCAGCTTTTTGTTTTGTTGACTTTTTCCTATGATATTTTTATCTTCTATATCCTGTATTTGGGCTTTTGCTTTAGTGATCTGGATGCTTCTGCTAAAGTTAGGGTTTTGGTCATCTTTTCTTTTTACTTCTCTAAAGTGATTTGTTAAGATGCTAACGTGTGATCTTACCATTTCCTTGATGTTTGTTTGTAGAGATATACATTCCTCTCTTAGAACTGATTTCATGGCATCCCATAGGTTTTCTTAAGATGTTTCTTCATTTTCACTTGTTTACAGAAATCTTTAAATTTCTCTTTTGGTTTCTGTGTTGACCCAGGAGTTGTTCAGCATCATACTGTTTAGTTTTCATGTCTTTGTGGGTTTTGGGGGAATTTTGTTGGTATTGATATTTACTTTTATTCCACTGTGGTCTAAGAAGGTGCATGGAAGTATTTTGATCTTATAAAATTTGTTTATGCTTGATTTATGGCTGAGGATGTGATTGATCTTGGAGTACATTCCATGTGGCAATGAATAGAATGTATATTCTGTGGTTGTGAGTGGAGTGCTCTGTAGGTATCTATTAAGTCCATTTGGCCAAGTGTCAAATTGAGGTTCCAGACCTTTTTGTTGATTTTTTTTGTCTTGATGATCTATCTAGGGTTGATAGTGGAATTATTTAAGTCCCCAGCTATAACAGTCATAGAGTCAATATCTTTCTTTAGTTTACTCTGTAGTTGTTTTATAAGCACTGATGCTCCTGTGTTGGGTGCATATATGTTTAAAATGGATATTTCTTGTTGATGAATTTAACTGTTTGTTATTATGTAGTGTCCTTCCATATCTTTTTGAAATTTTGATAACTTAAAGGTTGTTTTGTCTGATATTATGATCATGACTCCTGCTTTATTTTGTGACCCATTTACATGGGAATTCATTTTCCATCCTTTAACTTTATGTCTATGTGCAACCATTGTCGTGAGATGAGTTTTCTGAAAGTAGCAAATGATTGTGTCATGTTTTTTTTTTTAATCAAGTTTGCCATTTGCTATCTTTTCAGTGGTGAATTTAGTCCATTCACTCTCCGGCTGATTATTGAAATGTGTTTATCCCTGTCATGAGGTTCTCATAAAGTTTTTTCTTTGTTTTGGTTTTACTTTTGGGTTGATGTATGTGTGTGTCTTCAAGTTTGCAATTACAATGTATTCTCTGTTGATTCTGTGTTCTCCTATTCTCTTGGGAAGTGTGTGGTCATTCTTTTTTCTTCTTCTTCTGTGCTTAATAACTTTTTAAGTATCTCCTGTAGAGCTTGTCTGGAAGCTGCATAATCTTAGTGACTGGATGTATGGAAAGGATTTTAATTCTCCATTGCTGATGAAGCTTAACTTAGCTGGGTTGGAAATCCATGGTTGGAATTTTTTTTTTTAATCTTTGATAACTTTGAAGATTGGACTCCAGTTTCTTCTACCCTGTAGTGTTTCTGTAGATAAGTCTGCTGCTATTCTAATTGGTTTTCCCAGGAGGTAGTCTGACCTTTCTCTCTCATTGCCTTTGCAATTTTTTATTTTGTACCTGCTTTGTGTAGTTGAATTACTATGTGTCTAGGGGCTGGTCTTCTCATTTGATATCTTGAAAGGGTTCTCTGTACTCTTGTGTTTGGATGGTCACATCTGTGGTAAGATGGGGAAATTTTTCTTGGATAACCTCCTAGAATACTTGCTCCAAGATTCTCCATTTCCCTATCTTCTTCTGGGACACCAATCAGGTGTAGGTGACTTTTTAATATAATTACACATCTCTTAGAGACTTTGTTCTTTCTAAGTTTTCTTTCTATGTTTTTTACAGATCAAGTTAATTCCATGTTTTGGCCTTCAAGTTCTGAGATTCTTTTTTCTGCTTGATTAATTCTACTTTTTATGCTTGCTATCTTATTATTTATTTTCTGGATAAAGTTTTATGGCCAAAATCTCTGTTACAAGTTTCTTCAGTGTTACATCTTGTCTTTCTTGAGTTTCATTTACTCTTTCCATCCATTACCTATCCCTGTTGTATTCTGGGGCCAGTCCTTAATGACTTCTATTGTTTGGACTCTGAAGTCTAATTTTTCAGGTGTTTTCTCTTTGGTACACTGGTAATTACCTGTGTTCTTTTATTGATTTTTCCTCATTTGAGTCAAATCTCTTTCTTTTCTCTTTAGTTTCATTGTTCAGTGGTGGGGGGAGGGACTTTCACTTCTAATGTTTGTTCAGCCCTCTGTTCTTCCCTGATTAGGGATATGAATTTGTTCTATTTTGAAACAGGACTGAGGGTGTGAAGCTTTGCTATTTCTTATAGTTTTGAAAGTTGAATAAGGTGGAGGATGGGGAGCTGGAGTTCAGAAATGACTTGCAAATCACAGTGTTCACTGACTGAGTATGGGCACCCAGAGACCCACTCCCCACACCACTCCATATGATGATGCAATGGGTATGTGTGTGTACCTCTGAGTCCAAGATACAGTAACAGCAATGAGGAGAACAGAGAACAGTAGAATAAAATAGGACAGACAAAAATATAAAAACTAAAAAAGAAAAAGAAAAACAGAAAATAAAGCTAAAAAACAATTACACACACACACACCAAAATAAAATAGAAACAAAGCAAAACAAAACAAAAAAACAGAAAAACTGAACACACACACACACACACACACACACACACACACACACACACAAACACACACACACATGCCCAACACAAACCAAAAGAAGAAGGTAAAAAGAAAAGAGAGAGGAAAAAAGGAGGAATGCAAATCGAATCTTCACATATACACTCACACACACATTAAACTAAAAACAGAGAAAAACAAAAAACAATCTGAAAGATGAATGCTTAATCATTCACATGCACACATAAGCAGAAAACATAAAATGAAAGAAGGAAAAACAATAAGTAAAAAAAATGTTGGGGGATCAAATTAAACCCTTACATTTTCATACACAATGAAAAAAGAAAAATAATTAAAAAAAAATTTAAAACCTGCCCTCTTGTAGCAGGTTCTGTAATTGTTCCTCTCAGCTACTCACAGGTAAGCACTTTTATTGTCTCCTGTGGAGTTGCAGCCTCCTTAACAATCTCCCCATTGAGCAGCCTAGGGAATGAGCAGGAGGCCATGGGGTATATGGAACTTCTGTCCTCCCCTCTCACTCTCATATGATCAGGAGGATCCGCTCTGGTGGGGAGGTATGGGATTGTCTCTTCCCAAGTACTGATGGTGGATGCCCTAGCCAGGCTTATCCTGGGGTAGAGTCCTTCTGTCAGCTGACTTCCAGGCCTGGGTTCTTCCCTCTCAGTTGTGTCCTAGTCATGTGTGTCTGATGTTCAGAGGATTGTTGGGGAGGAGGGGGTTGGGTTAGCCCTGGATGGACTCACTGCTCATCTCTTCAGGAGTCTTTCTCGTCCTTCTCTGGTCTCACCCTTTTTCCCATGACTGAATCAGGATGGGGGTGGGGCACCTGACACTTGCTCTGTACCTTTGGAGTTTATGCTTACAGGATGTTCCCTCTGGGTCACAATCAGCCCCTGAGGATTAATAGACTAGTCACAGAGATCAAATCTGTTACTCCCTGGTGAGCATGCTGGAGCACTTCCCTGCCTAGTTTCCAAGATAGTGGCAGGGTGCCTATTTTGTCTTATCCAGTGGGGCTCTGCCTCTGGCTTCTTTGCTTTGCTCCCTCCACAGCCCTTGCTGCCAGTGTTCAGCCAGGCGCTGCAGTGGTGAGGCAAATTCTGGAGCCAGTAGTCATACCTGGCAGCTTCTTCTCAGGAAGGGCTTTGCTGATTTAAAAAAAATGGTGTTTGGCTTCTGTGCCCCAGGAAGTGTGAGAGTCTAAGATGATCAGCTGCAGCACTGGCTGCTTCAGCAGGACAGCTGTGACTACTTGCTACCTAGTTCCCAGTCAGCCACTCATACACCCACTTACAGTCACATATGCAAAATTATCCATGTGCTCACTCACTCACACAGGGACGCACATAGTCCAACTGGCTCTACCGTTCAACTGGCTCTACTGTCCAACTGGCTCTACCATCATCTTCCTCCCCTCTTTCTGTCAGAGCTTGTATGAGGGAATTGTGTTCTAATGATTTGTTTACATGTCTGTCTCCAGCACTTTACTCTGAGTGTTTTGAAAGCAAGTACCAAGTTTTGTTTAACTTTATGTCCCCACTGTCTGGCATACAACAGAATTGTTGGGTGTTAAAATCATTCTTAATATTTTTTTTTTGGAGGAAGGGTGAGCACTGGGACTTTATTACACAGCACAACACTTGTGACAATGGAAGAGAGGCAGGCAGAAGTGTGGGCCAGAACACTCCAGTCCAGGACATTCAGAAAGTTTGCTTGTTTCTCCAGAACACTCAGCAGTAAGACCATCTGGGGTTGTTCAGGGGGTTGGGCCAGAAGTGGTAGGCCAGGATCATCCTCTTGCGGAAGGCCTCATACTTGTTGTCCTCCTTGGAGAGCTCGGCTGGCCGGTCGATACCAAAGCTGACACCATCCACAGTGGTGGTGCCCTTGTTGACTGGATTCTTGATGCCCTGGCCCTTTGAGCCCAGACCCTCGCCCTCCTTCCAGCCCATCTTCATCAGCATCTGGTAGCTAATGTTCTCCACTGTCAACCTGAACTCCTTGTACTCTGAGTAGTTGGGCTCGTCGCCCTTCTTCAGGGTATTGAAGGTCTCCATGAACTTCTCCAGTTCATCTGGAGGCAGGAAGGCTCCGATGAAGTGCTTACCCCGACCCATCTTTGTCAGCTGCTCAGCCCATTCCTGCATCTCGTTCATCTCCATGCACTGCAGCTGGTGCTCCCGGGTGCTCAGCTCGCTGTCCACCTCCTCGTCACAGTGCTGGTGCTGCTGCACCGCCTTCTCCTACAGCGGCTGTGTGTCTTGCATGGCCCGCCTGTGCTGCATGATCATGTCATACATCTGCTGCATCTCCTGCTGTTCCTCCAGCTGCTTCTTCTGGGCATCTGACAGCTCTGTGACACCCACCAGACCCACAGACTTCCCCTTTCCATAGCTGAGCCCCTTGAGGTCCTGAACTGACAGAGGCGTGGGGGAGGCATCCATGTCCCTCTGCACCAGCTCAGTGGACTGGAGCTCCACCTTGTCCTCTCTGGCCCCAACCGGCTCTTCAACTTCCTCTTTACAGTGGCTGCAGAGGCAGACTTCCCAGGGATGGCTGGAGCAGAGGGGGTGGCTGGAGCAAGGTGATGGCTGGTGTAGTTGTGGATGACATGGGGCAGGTGGTGGCTGGGGACAAGGTCACTGATGGGACCTCAGGAAGGGACTTACGCTTCAGGCTGGGATCAGGTGCTGTGAGGGTGCTGATGGAGTTGGCCTTGGCCTTCCGGAACTCCTCCAGCTTCTGCTGGTAGTACCTGTACCCTTGGCTGTTGTGTTCATACAGAAAGTTGAATGCCTGGTTCTCGTGGTTGTTCCGGAGGGTGATGGTTTCCACCTTGGGACCCCCGACCGCCATGAACCTGGCCAACTTTTCTGCAAGATTCTTGACCTCTTTATCCTCTGGGGGTGAAACTTTCTGAGAGGCTGCCTGTGACTTTTGTGCTTCCTTTCTTATCTCAGCCACCTTCTTTCTGTAGTAGAGGAATTCCCTGTTATTCTTATCGTGCAAAAATGCAAATGCCAGGTTATCCTTGTAGTCCTCTATAGCTACTTTCTCTAACTTGGGTCCTCCTTCTGCCACAAAGTGGGCCAATTTCTCTGTCACTTTCTGAGTCTGGGCTCCCTCTGGGGGTGAAACTTTGATCTCCAGCCACTGCTCGTAGTTCTCCTTCTCGGCCTCCTCCGGGGACTGGAAGACACTAGGGCAGTGCGCCATGGGCAGCTACTTGGCGTGCGAGTAGTGCTTCACCTGGCCCAGTGGGCTACCCAGCCCCAGACTTGTCCGTCTGCTGAGGAGGAGGGACCTCTTCCTGGTGCTGGGGGTGGGCATGCTGGGAGGGGCACTGGGTGTGCTGGGGGTGGGGGTAGGGGGAGCGCGTCTGTGGTCTGTACCTTCTGCAGCTTCAGAAACTGCTACAAGAAGCTACCGTCATTGGCAAACTTGTTGGAAACACAGGAAGAGTTGTGTACGTTTGCAATTTTGTGGGGATGTGGTAGCTGAGGGCTGGCCACCTGAATCTGCTTGGCTTTCTGTTCCATTTTGGCTTCAATTTCCTGTTTCTTCTGAGCGATGAGCTCTTCTTGGTGAAGAATATTCATGTTCATTTTTCCAGATTTGGGGGTAGCAACCCCAAACCATGGGTTAGCCTTTCCTGCAACATCCTGGTTGTCCATCTTGAGACTCATCCATTCCCACCCTTAATATCTTAATAAGGCAAAATCCCAAACCCCATAGCAGCAACTTTCAATAAGTTGTAAACAGACAAGTATTTTTGTGGTGTTAGGCATATTCAGTGTTGTAATATAATTTTGTATTTGGAAAATGAAAAAGATGCCAATTATAAAAGGTAGAGTTTGACAAGTCATTTTGGGTGGTGGTGATAGACTGATATGTCTTCAGTGGTGCAGGCCATACTAGATGAGTTTCAAAATCGGGGACAGAGGGGAGGCAGAATGTGTGTGTGTGTGTGTGTGTGTGTGTGTGTGTGTGTGTGTGTGTATGCATTCATGCATGTGTGCATACAGTGTTTTCATTTAGGAAAAGGAGGGCTGGCTTTGAAAAATATTACCCCCAGATTATGCCTTGAAGAGACTCTTTTGTAGAAAAAAATGACAGCTCTAAGCCTCCTCAGTTCTTGGGGTTTCTTGCCCAGGGTCATCTCCATGCTGCTCTCAAGGGATATGATACTGTTTTTCTATGAACGTTATGGTCCAACAGGGGTCAAAGTTATTTTCTTGGAACTGTGGCACATCATGACTTCCAGAAGGCTTTACTAAATTCTTAGAGAGAACAAAAAGTGCATATGAGTAGTCTATAAGAAATGTAAATTATCTTGCTTACAAAACAGTTTTCTTATGTTTTCACAGATAATTGGCTCCCATTCAATGCCACATGAGTTTTTGGGAATGGAAAAAAGTTCATCGGGAAACCCCATTCACTCTCTATCCTTCCAAACCCCTACCCCTACCCTATTCTGCCTCTGGGGTTCAAGTTATTTCTCTCAGGTTGGCCTCTAGTCTGAGAGACAGTACTCCCTCTCCAACTGTCACCAGGAGGGACCATACCTTTAGGTGAGATTCTGCTTCTCAGTTGGGTGGCTTGAATTGATTTTGGCACAAGCTAAATAGTAGAATTAAGAATAATCAAGAATGTTGAATGCAGAGTTCAGAAGCAGGAATCAAACAGATATTAACAAGAGTGATTGCTCTCTCATACCATGCATTGGGTTTACAGCAAGGAGGGTGACCATATTCTTTTATTCATGATCCCAAGAAAATATTTTTGAGGAACTGACTGATGTGTTTTTGTACCTGGTATTTCTTTCTATTCTTGACACCCCTCAGCCAGACTTTTTAACTCCATTGCATAGAAATGCAGAGAAAGAAGAATGGTAAATCTTCACTTTCAAGTCTCAAAAGCCTAGGAATTACTGAGCCAGGGTAAAAATAGAATATAGCATTAGTTGGAGTCAGCTTCTGCCTGCCCAGGCGAGGCCCATAGAACCAAGAGATCACCAGTTTCTCTGCACCCATAATGACAATGACGGGGGAGTGTTCTATGTGGTAAAGTTCTACCTCTCAAAGTTCCCTGTAACATAACTGTGGTGCAGGAAGTGCAGAAAACTTCAGGGCTTGGGAGGGATGAAGGTGCCACCTCCTGACCCCTAGAGCAGTTCCAGAATGGGAGGAACATTTCCCAAGACTCAAGAGTAGCTTGTTTATGGGATGTGAACAAGCCTTGTGGTTGAGAATGAAAGGCCCCAAATATTTTGGGGCTCTCTGCCTTTGAATTATTTAAATTCAATAGTTGTTCTTTGAGATCATATCTGATGATGGATATAAAAAGAAGCTGATGCTCCGTGTGGAACAAATGTGCTTTTCTGATTTAAAAGGTGTGTTTGAAACACAGTGCAACATGTCAAACAAAGAAAACAAATGGGAAGTGGACATTTATTGAAAATAGCTTTTGCCGTTTATAAATAGTAGTCATGTAATTAGCCCAACACACAAATGCAGCATAATTAATGCTATTAACCAAAATGTATGTTTCAAAATATCTAGGAAAATTGTATAATTATAATGTAATTGAAGTCACTTAAACTGAAACTTTGCCCTTTTCTTTTGGTCTTAGATATTCTTTTAGTTGTCATGCCCATGTTTTCTGATTTTAAAAAGTGAAATATATTAAGGTGTTTCAAATATCCAGATTTTTTTCCTCTTCTAAACTTACATTTATCCTGTTATTATATAGTTGTTCCTTGATCCAGTGTTACATGAAATTCACACTGACAAAATGCATGTGTCACTTTGGTGAAATATATAGCTAATCTTAACATTATATTACAATTCCAAATTTAGTTACAAAGTAAATAGTATATGGGCACTATAAAAATAATCATTTCTATAGTTAAAACTATGTCAGCATTTTCATAATGAGTCCTTTTTTCAAAAATTATAACTTGACCAAAATAATTTAATATTAAGATTTAATGTGGTTTTTGAGCTTTTGGCCAGAGCACTTTTAAAAAAGTGATTCTTTCAAAACAGATTTGACATTTCTCAATATTAGACAAGAATAGAAGGAGGGCCAGTTTTCTTGCTACAACCATCTCTTCAAATGTCCTATTGCTATCGAGACACACTTGTATGCAAAAATAAAGAAATAAGCAACAAAGGGTACCCGTGTCCTTGGATCCATGGCATGGCTATCTTATGGGGGGGATACAATTTATCCAATTATGAGACTCTTGACTGTGCTGCAAAACAGAGTTGGCACATTTCCTTTGTTTTGTCACATTTCTCTCTTTATCTAGACTTTCTCCAGACTACCTTCCTAGTTCTCTATTTAAAAAATCATCATTCTATGAAGCTTCTCCCCCACCCCCATCTTCATAAGTGATTGGGTCATCTCCCTATTGGCATGCTCTTTGTTTGTTTTTAACAGATATTTTCCTATTTATTCTTGCTTTTGAAGACAAGGCCTTAAATGAGTTTCCCCAACTTTAAATTTTTAGTGGCCTAGTTCATTTCCTTATGTACATATAGATTTAATACCTCCTGGGCCCCATTAGTTGGAATTTTTCTTTTCTTTTCTTTTTCTTTTTTTTTTGAGTTGGGGTCTTACTCTGTCGCTCAGGTTAAAATGCAGTGGTATAATCATGGCTAACCACAGCCTCAACCTCCTGGGCTCAGGTGATCCTTCTGCCTCAGCCTGAGTAGCTGGGACTACAGGCATGTGCCACCATGCCAAGCTATTTTAAGATTATTTTTGTAGAAGCGAAGTCTTGCTATGTTGCCCAGGCTGGTCTTGAGCTCCTGGGCTCAAGCAAACCTCCTGTCTCAGCCTCCCAGAGTGCTGTGGTTATAGGGTTGAGCCACCATGGCCATCTAGGAACTGCATTTTAAGTAATTTTTATGTCTTTTCATTTTACTTCTCTGTACTCAGAGCACTTTGTTCAAATCTCTGTTATAACACCTGACCATTTACAGGACTCTCTGCCCTGGGAGCTTTGGAAGGAGGGTATGTCTGACCTAGGTTAGCACTTTTTCATTGGTCTACTTATGAACCAGATGATAATGTAAAACAAAACTCTTCAGTTCTGATCTAATTCTTATAACTACTTGGATTCTGTCAGTTGGCTCTGCCCAAGTTGTTGCTGCAGGGACCAGCAGGAGCTCACTGGCCTAATATCTTGCACCTGACCACAGAAGGCATTTGTAGTACTCACCATGCACCACCTCCACTCTTTCAAGGAGGAAATTCAATAGGTACCAAGACTTACTACTCTTTGAATTCCCAGAATTAAGGACATAGCAAGTGCTCACTAAATATTTCCTGCATAACTGGAATAATTCATCAATCAATTAATTGAGACTTGTTTGGTCTTTGTTAATTAGTATAATGAATAGTTGGAAAGAGGAACTGTCTCTCTGGCCATGGAGCAAAATAAATGAGAATTAAATGCATGATTCTATATGTATTAGCTCCATTCACCAACCAAATGAACTTATCCTGTACAGACTGTTCCGCAGAAGGTGTTAATTCACAATGATTCAAATTAACATTAATATTTGCAGACATTGCCTTTCATTTATCTTAGCTCATTTACTTTATCATAAAATAAAGCTGAGTTAAATATTACTATATGTGGAAGAAATTTAAAATGGTTATATATTACAGCAAGTCTTATAAGGCATTAATCTTCATTACTGAGGAGACATTTGATAATTCCCTTAAGGAAACGCCACTTAAGTTCCAAGATTCCTCAAGGGAAAGATTGTTCACTTTGAGATATAAGCATCTTACATGTTACTTGAATGTAGGATTTCTTGTGACAAATCTGAAGACAGGGTCCAGGGGAAATGGAAAGTGTATATGTGGTAGATTGATTGAATTGATGGCCCCGTCTTTCTCCCACACTGATCTGAGACTTGGTCACATAACTTTCTTTGGCCAAGGAGATAGAGAACATTTGACAAAGTGGCTTGAAAAATGCTTGTGCATTTCTTCTTATTCACTTGGAAACTTGCCGCTAAAAGAGAACACACTCAGGCAAGTCCGCTGGAGGGATGTGAGAGGTAGAAAAGATCAGAGATGTCCTAGCTGAAGCTTCCCAGGCCAGTCAATACCAGTCCATATACAGCTGACTGGACTCATATATGAACCCAACCTAGATCAGCTTAACTTGACCTTGATCGACAGAACTTCTCAGCAGAGACGTAGCTTTGTGAGAAGTAATACATGGTTGTTTCTTTAAGTCATAACATTTAGGGTGGCTTGTTATATAATTGTGGCAACAGGTGCTAGTTGTAGTGGCTAATTTTTCTTTTCTTTTTATTTTTTTTTTTTGAGTTGGAGTCTCACTCTGTCGCCCAGACTGGAGTGCAGTGGCCGCTCCCAGTCACCGCAGCCTCGACCCGCTGGGCTCCGGCGATCCTTCAGCCTCAGCCTTCCGAGTAGCCAGAATTACAGGCATGTGCTACCATGCCTGGCTGATTTTTTGATTTATTGTAGAGATGAGGTCTTGCTGCCCAGGCGGGTCTCGAACCCACAGGCTCAGGCAATCCACTCACCTCAGCCTCCCAAAGGTGCGGGATTACAGCCTGAGCCACCGAACCCGGATTGTGGCTAATTTTTCTACAAGACTATATGAAGTCTACAATTCATTTGCTAATACACAATAAAT